TGGATAAACAGACGTGTGATCATTGAGTTCAGTGTCTAAGACAAAAGTGGTCCAGGTGACACCCAGCCATCACACAGGTTTTACTGAGGACTGATGTGTAACTAGGCAGATACCTATTTCTGTATCCTCATATCTTCCCCTCAACAGTATCTCAAGAGAGTAGGAATATTCATACTAAATATTTTAAAAATTATTTTTAATTAACATTTAATGTATTATTTGCCCCAGGGGTACAGATCTGTGAATCGTCAGGCTTACACATTTCACAGCACTCACCATAGCACATACCCTCCCCAATGTCCACAACCCAGCCACCCTATCCCTACCCCCACCCCCAGCAACCCTCAGTTTGTTTTGTGAGATTGAGCCTTTTATTTCATAGTAAATATTTTTTAAGCCAAGTTAAAAAAAATTCCCATTTCATTCATTGACACATTTCTTGGAAATCTGGGCAGAGGAAGGCAAGGCCAGGTGTGGTTATGATTGACAGGGCCCAGGGAGACCAAGTCTCCCGAGTCACGTGAGAAGCAATTCCAGTGAACATTACATCTGAGCTGTTACCTGCTCGGAACAGAAGCCGGGAAGGCTTACGAAACACTCCCTGTTGAGGATGTTCATGACATTCACAAGTTCAAATGTTTTTGGTTTTGTTTTTAATAGGCTGTGTCTTTAACATTTTATCCGTTGCTATTTCTACTAGGATGATGAAGTCCCTTGATGAAATAGAGCTCAGGAGTGGAAGCAAATGCCAACCTTGGCTGAGAACTTTGGCCTCTGGTATACAGGCTGGTACCAGGAACGGGCACATTCTGGGTCATACAACTTCATGGAACAGCTCTGTGGATCGCAGAGGTGGAGTATGGGTGAATGGTGTCCACAGAAGCAGTGAGGGGGAAAAGGAGGAGCATCCAGTGGTTGTGAGGGAGGCCCTCCTGGCAGGTATGTCACAGAAATAGGCAGAGCCTGCCATTGGGGTTCTGCCATTGGACCCTGCCATTTTGTATGCGTCCCAGCTGCCTTTGGACCAGTGTTTGCATGACATAAGTAATGCTATCCTCTGACTTTGAGCCCAGTTATTTCCTTGTATTTGACATGAGTTTGTGGAAGACAGCCTAGAGTTGGGTCAGTTGCCTTTGGGTTTTTTTTAACCCATTTTGACAACCTCTGCTCTTAAAATGACGTGTTTGGCATTTGCATTTAACATAATTCTTGGTTAGGATTTAGCCTAGGGAAGCCCTTTTCGTATTTGTTTTCTGTCTATTCCTTTTGTGTTGCATGGCTATCTTTCCTTTCTTGGCTTTTTAAGGGCTTACTTGAAGAGTGTTTAGTATTCCACCTTAATTTATCTATTGTGTTTTTTATGGTACGTGGTTTTGTATTTCTTAGTGATTGTGTTAGAAATGAAGAGATACATCCTGAATGTGTCGGTCCTCGTATCCATAGTGTCCTAATTAAAGTGGAATCTAGAAACCTTAACACCATTTTGGCCATGGTACCTTTTCAATATTACCTCTGTGTATAATAAGGTCCCGATTGTAAAAATGTTATGTATGTTTTTTTACTTTCTTTGTTTAGGATTTTATTTATTTATTTGGAGAGAGATGAACAGAGCATGAGTAGGGGGAAAGGCAGAGGGAGGGAGAGAGAGAGAATTCAGATAGACTCTGTGCTGAGCATGGAGCCTGAGGCAGGGCTCCCTCTCATGATTCTGAGATCAAGACCTGAGCTGAAATGAAGAGTTGGACACTTCAGAGACTGAGCCACACAGGTGCCCCTGTTTTGCTTTCAATTGCTGCATATGTTTTAAGAACACATGAAGAGTATAATCTATGATATGTGCCCAGATATTTACCATTTTTGTTGATCATTCTGTAATCCTGATACTCCAAATGTCATTGAACTTCCTTTGGTGATTTTTTTTTTCTTTAAGCTTATTTATCTTTTTCTTTTTTAAGATTTTATTTATTTATTTGACAGAGAGAGAGAGAGAGATCACAAGTAAGCAGAGAGGCAGGCAGAGAGAGAGGGGGAAGCAGGCTCCCTGCAGAGCAGAGAACCTGATGCGGAAATCGATCCCAGGACCCTGAGATCATGACCTGAGCCGAAGGCAGAGCCTTAAGCCACTGAGCCACCTAGGCACCCCTTAAGCTTATTTACCTTTTTTAGTGATTTCTACACCCAACTTGGGTCTCAAACTCATGACGCTGAAGTCAAGACTTGCACACTCTACTGACTGAACAAAACAGACACCCCAACAATTCTTTTAAAGCAGATCTCCCGGCTATGGGTTCACTTAATTTTTGTTCATCTGAAGATGTCTTTGTATTATTTTCACTCCTGAAGTACATTTTTGCTGGCTATAGTGGCAGTACTTTTTTTCAGCCATTTATTTCTGGTTTCCATTGTTCCTAATGAGAAACAGCTAGTCATTCAACTTGTTTCCTGGACATAATGTATCATTTGTCTCTGTTTTCAGTTTTCAAAATTGGATTATGATAGATCTGGGTATGGATTACTTTGGGTTTGCCCTATTTGGAATTCATTCAATTTCTTAAATTTGTAGCCTTATGTTCTTTCACCAAACTTGAAAGTTTACAAATATTATTTCTTTAGATAGATAGACAGACAGACATACTGAGTTCCCAGGAGCCTCTAATTACCTTTTTTTCAACCCTGCATTTCTTTCTCTTCTCCTCTGGGACTCTGATGGTATGAATGTTAGATTTTTGTTGTTGTCCCATAGTTCTCTCAGATTTAATTGTTTTCCTATCACTTCCTCTCCCTGTTGTTCTGATTGCATAACACTTATTTATTTAGATTTTAAAAATTTTAAAAGACTTCATTTATTCAATTATTTATTTATTTATTTATTTAGAGAGAGAGAGAGAGAGAGAGAACGAGCACAAGTGCAGGAGGTGTAGAGGAGAGAGAGAGAGAGAGAGAATCTCAAGCAGACTCTGTGCTGAGTGCAGAGGCTGACGTGGGACTTGATCCCACACCCTTGACGTCATGACTTAAGCTGAATCGGGAGTCAGATGCCCAACTGACTGAGACATCCAGAAGCCCCAACTCTTACAGATTTATTTTCAAGTTCATTTTCTTTGTCATCTGTGTTCTTCTAGTGAGTCCATTCTCTGAATTTTAATTTTTGGTTTTTGTATTTTTTAGTTCTAGACTTTGGTTGCTCTATTTTCCATCTCTTCAGTTACATTCTATTTTCACGTTTTCTATGTCATATATTCTACTTTGCACATATCTTCCTATTGTGCAAGTGTGTTAGCAGTTGCTCGTTAAAACAGTTTTAGAGCATTTCCTATAACGTCTTTGTCAGGTAATGCCAACATCTGTGTCATCTCATTATCTGATGTCCATTGATTCTTAGTTTCTGTACAAGTGGAGACTTTTTTGTCTCATCCTCATATTTTGAGTAAATTTGGTTTATGCTCAGGACATTTGAATGTTAGGTTACAAGACACTGGGTCTTATTCATGTGCAATGAAGAATGTGGATTTTTTTTCTAAATATTTCATTTTTAAGGAAGGTTCAAATGTTCCACTGACTGAGCCAGCCAGATGCCCCTGGATTTTTTTTTTTTTTTACCTTGCAGTTTTCAAAGACTTTGCAGTTCTCTTAAGATCTGTCATATGTATGTGTCTATGGATTGGACAGAAGTCTCCCAGCTCCTCAGTTCTCAAAGTTCTCAGGATCCTAAATAGGGCCAGATCTATGTATACCCAGGTTGAGCTCAAGCAAAGGAGTTCATATGACTATGAGTCCTCATTCCAGAGCTTCTCTCTTTTCATTACTGTTCTAGTGGGAGCAAGGGTAATTTATGACTTTTCTTTTTAAAGATTTTATTTGAGAGACAGAGTGAGTGAGAGAGAGCATGAGTGGGGGGAGGGCCAGTGGGAGAGGGAGAAGCAGAACTGTAACACTGCATGGTCCCAGTGCAATCGATCAGTTAGATCTCCTCTGCAGAACACAAGCAAAGGGTCCTAGGGTACCATCATTGCTCTACCACAGGACCCTGACCTAAGGGCCTCTTGCAGAATGTGTTTGCCCCCTGACCTAAGGGCCTCTTGCAGAATGTGTTTGCCCCAACGTCTCCAGCTAATAAGCTCCCTCCTGACATACTGGATGGTAATTAACTAAGTAGACCTCCTCAGAATAAACCTAGGTTGCTGGAGGAAACACAGGGGGAATGCTGACTCTGCTGACTCTGTTCCTCCTAATATATGTGGGAACTTCTCCCTCATTTCCGGCTTAATGGCTATAAATGGAACCAAATGTCTCTAGTTATTCTCCCCCAGGATGGGGACTTTCAGGAATATTCCCCAAAAGCTGCCCAAACTCCCTTTGTTTCAGGGAAATTCCCTGTCTTCTCTTGCCTGACACAGACTCCTATTCCACTTTGGAGGAAAAACGAATGTATACCATTCTGCGTCTGCTCATCTGTCTGGGCTGACAGGTTTTAGGACCAGGAACTTTCTTTTTCTGCCTTCTGGCAGCACTCTGCGCCTTCAGCCTCCTCCCCCCTCCTCTTCCTGTTTCTATACTGTCCTGTGTGCCTCTGGCCTTCAGGACACCATTCACTTCAGATTTCCCCACCAGTGTCTCAGGTAAAAATCAACAATGGGAAACAAACTGATTGGCTTCTAAAAGAGAACTCAGGATGAACATAATTTGCTGTTTAAACTAATTTAAGTGTGCTGGTTTAATTAAACATGTCTTGAAACTTATCGGCATTAAATGTGAAACTTTTATTCTACCAAGATTTACTGAAGGTCAGATAAGCTCATGATCTCTGTTGCAGTTTTGTGTTTGTTTGTCTGTTTTCTAAGATTTATTTGTTTGACAGAGACAGAGAGCATGAGCAGGGGGAGCAGGAGGCAGAGGAAAAGACAGACTACCCAGTGAACAAGGATCCCATGAGGGACTCAATCCCAGGACCTCAGCATCACGATCTGAGCCAAAGGTGGTCCCTTAACTGACTGAGCCACCAGGCATCCTGAAATGAATGGATTTTAAAGGTACACTAGTAGAAGATGGGAATTCTGCTTTCTCTCTGTTCAAAAGACTAAGTTTTCCTAAATTGTTGGTCTACTCTTTTTTTAAAAAATTTTTTTAAATTTATTTGACAGACAGAGATCACAAGTAGGCAGAGAGGCAGACAGAGAGAGAGCGGGAAGCAGGCTCCCCGCTGAGCAGAGAGCCCAATGCGGGGCTCCATCCCAGGACCCTGGGATCATGACCTGAGCCCAAGGCAGAGGCTTTAACCCACTGAGCCACCCAGGTGCCCCTGTTGGTCTACTCTTGATGAAAATGGAAACGAATTTGTTTTTCTTTATCTGCCCAGGAAAACCAGTTTCTCTATTTCGTCTTTTCAGGTCTATGATTACTTAAAACTTCTCAGTTTTAAAGGAGCTAAATTTGCTCACAGCTATAAGACCCTACATATTTGCCTTTGGAAACTTAGGTCATCTTGGTCAAATATGCGCTTTATAATGATTTGTAATTCTACTCAGGTATGTGCTTTATAACTGAAGTTTTTTTTTTTAACAAACTTCCCCAAGGTTTAAATCATAAACGAAGTCTTTTTGACCAATTAGGCTTGTTTATTTGGTATCTTAAGTTACCTGGAAAACACCAGCAAACAAGTAATAAGCCTCAGGTTGTGTTGTCTGGATAAATCTAGCTATTCTGGAGATGATATACAATTCCTAAAGTTGTAATAGGTTTTGGTAATAAGGTCATCACTTAACACTGTAAACATTACTAAATGTTTTATGTCCAGGGCACCTGGGTGGCTCAGTTGGTTAAGCGTCTGCCTCTGGCTCAGGTCATGATCCCAGGGTTATGGGATGAGTCCTTCCTGGGCTCCTGGCTCAGTGGGGAGCCTGCCTCTTCCTCCCTCTCCTCCCCTCCACCATCATTGCTCTCTCTATCCCAAACAAATAAACAAAATCTTTTTAAAAAAAAAAGTAACCTGAACAAGAATTAATAACACGGGACTAAATGAACTAAGAAAAGGATTATAGTTTTGTGACTCTTGCTTAAAACATTGCCAGTTCTCTAATGTTTGGTCTTGTAGATTAAAAAAACATTCTCTTAAGAAAACTATGACTCCAGAAATGTAATAAAATATACGTCTGTAAACAAATTGAAGGAGTTAACTTTTCTATCAGAACCCTCTGAAATTCAAAAGGTCTCTCAATATTCTTTCTTCCATGGTAATTATAGTCATTTGCAAAAGTTCAATAAGATTCTGGTCTCCTGGGCTCTTGGGTGGCTCAGTCATTAAGTGTTTGTCTTCAGCCCAGGTCATGACCCCAGGGTCCTGGGATTGAGCCCTGCACTGGGCTCCTTGGGGAAGCCTGCTTCTCCCTCTCCCACTTCCTCTGCTTGTGTTCCTTCTCTCTCTGTCTCTCTCTCTCTCTCTGTCAAATAAATAAACAAAATCTTTAAAAAATACTTTGTTATAATTGGACTTGTTTTGCAAACAAATTATTCTTGATTAGGCGATCTCTAAAAATGAGGGTTATTATAGAGAGAAGTTGTATTTCAATAACCCACCTTTGTGGATGTTCAATCTAGTTCTGATCATCTTTAAAAGTTGTGTGTCGGGAGCGTGGGTGGCTCGGTGGGTTGAGCCTCTGCCTTCGGCTCGGGTCATGATCTCAGATCCTGGGATCAAGCCCCACATGGGGCTCTCTGCTCAGTGGGGAGCCTGCTTCCCCCCCTCTGCCTGCTGCTCTGCCTACTTGTGATCTCTGACAAATAAATAAATAAAATCTTAAAAAAAAATAGTGTGTGCCTAAGCTAGGCAACTTGACGTAAACTTCGGAGTAATGGACACGATAGCTTTGGCCGCCTCTTTGGTGGGTATCCAGGACTTCTGGTAGGACTACCACATAAAATAAACAAAGCAGCATGTTTGCCCAGAAGGACTGGAAATGATTCTTCCCAGGTGCTAAATGCACCTAACCGAAAGTTACGTGAGGTCAGAGAGGGACTTCTCGAAAGCTAGACCACTGTTGATTATCTCCTATTACTCCACCATTTAGGAAGTGAGGCGTTTCTTCACATGTGTTGTTTCAACATGGCGCTTAACTCTTGCAGGGAGTCCCTGTTAATAGGGGACATTTGTGATCAGTTAAATAACATCAAGATATCACTGGTCTGTTCAATGGAATTGGTAACTGAGGCTCCTACCTAAGAGATGTAATCACCATTTTGATCTTAACATTTCTTTTATGCTTATTCTTTTGCATGTGTGATATGTGTATCATCTGCTGTCCGTCATGACGTCCCGCACCCCAGAGCCATTCTGTGGGCCCTAGACCAAACCCTGGATAGATTCTAACTGCATATAGCACACTGCCCCATTTTGGCAGGAAGCACCCAGAGCTCTCATCATCCTATCCCCAAAGGGCAGTTAAGGATTCTATTCCAAAGGGAGGAATGAATAGGAAAGGGTTAAGGTATAGACAGGGAAGATAGGGGCCCCTGGCTGGGCTCTGAAACCATTCCTGGCAGGCAGAGGTGCTAAGACAGAGTGAACAAGAGAGAACAGAATAGACCAGAACACCTGGCCCCAGGGTGTTAGGGAGTAATTTTCTTGGGCTGCTACACTGTAATCACCGAAAATGACCTGACCTCAAAAAGAGGAAGTCACCAAGGGTGTTGTCAATAGTCCTTGATCAGACTAAACGAACACAAGTATCACTTGTATCACGAGCTGCCTTGTCAAGTTTTCAATAAAAGACCAGTCCTAACAACCCTCAGTGGCAACCCACTCGGGACCCTCTCACTCTAGAGAGCTTTTCCTGCTCTTACCTTCACTTAAAAAACTTTCACTCTGTTCACCCTTTTATACCTGCAAGATTCATTCTTCAACTCCGGGAGACAACATCCCTGCAGTCCTACGTTACTATGGTAATGAACCTTGCCGTTAGAAGACCATGAACTTAACACACGTGTGTGTTCTGACTGCTCCACTGGCCTGCCTCTCCCCATCTCTCTCCCTCCCCTTGGGCCTCCCTAGTCCCCGAGACACAACAATGTTGAAATGGGGCTCATTAATATCCCGACAACGGCCTCTCAGTGTTCAAGTGAAAGGAAGTCTGAGAAACCAACTGAGGGTTTTAGAGGGGAGGAGGGTGGGAGGATGGGTGAGCCTGGTGGTGGGTATTAAGGAGGGCCCGTATTGCATGGAGCACTGGGTGTGGGACATAAACAACGAATCTTGAAACACTGAAAAAAAAAAAATACTGTCACAGTCAAGAGGAGCCCAAGAAGACAAGATGACCAAGTGTAATGCGGTCTCCTGGATGGGATCTGGGGACAGGAAAGGGATGTTAGGTTCAAAATTAAGGATATCTGAATAACCTATAAACTGTTTAAAAAAAAAAAAAAAGGAAGGAAGGGTCACACGTCTCTCACTTTAAATCAAAAGCCAGAAATGATGATACTTACTAGGAAAGGAATGTTGAGAGTGGAGACAGGCCAAAAGATGGGCCTCTTGCGCCAGTTGGCCAAGTTGTGAATGCCATGGAAAGTTCTTGAAGCAAATGAAAAGTGCTATTCTGGAGAACATATGGACAATAAGAAAGAGAAACACCCTTATTGCTGATGTGGAGAAAGTTTAATGGGCTGGATGGAAGATCAAACAGCCCCAACATTCCCTTGTGCCAAAGCCTCATCCAGACCAAGACCCTGACTCTCCTCCATTCTCTGACCGCTGAGAGAGGTGTGGGGGCTGCAGGGGACAAGTCTGAAGCTAGCAGAGGTTGGTTCATGAGGTTTAAGGAACAAAGCTGATTCCATAATCTAAAAGTTGCAAGGTGGTGTGTGCAAAATGAAGCTGTTCTTCTTTTTTGTGTTTTTTCTCCAGTTTTTTGGTCCCACTATGTTGTTGCAAAATTCTGCTATGGATTCCAGATGTCTCCCAGAGCTCGTTTTGTTTGTGGATAGCTGCATATTTGTTGATTTTCACCAGGGGGACGGAGGCTGGGTCTATTCCGCCGCCGTCTCGGTGATACCACGTCTCTGATCTGGGAGTTATTTCCATATCTCTTGTATTTGCACATAGAGGGTTACATAGAAAATAAAATAAAATAACTTTTTAAAGTTCATAATCTTCTCTGGGTCTCTCTCACAAGCGCCTAGCATTATGGAAACAAATCAACTGATTTATTTCTATTGAGTGGACAATAGGCAATTTGGGCTATGTTGTGGAGATAGAACAGCTAATATTTATCTGCAAGTTCTTCCAACTTATCTGAATACAATAGTCTTTTCTTTTCTCAGGATTAATAGAGACATAGCAGAGAGACACACACCGGCTGATCAACAAGAAAAGATACATTTAAGGAAGAGATCCAGATGTCCTCTGACAGATCCTGGAGATGCTGTCTGATATGGAGAAGGTATGTATCTATCCTTTGTGGGCTCTTGATGGCTTTGATTCCTCTGTATCTCATTGTTGTTCCATGAAATATGGAGTACTGTGGCCTTTTTTGTTTTTTTTAAGAAAAGGCTCTGCTTGTATTTTTTTTAATAAGCTTTTATTTATGACAGAGAGAGAGAGTTCAAGACAGGCAGATGGGTAGAGGGAGAGGGAGAAGCAGACTCCCCATCAAGCAGGGAGCCCAACGTGGGGCTCAATTCCAGGACCCTGGGATCATGATCTGTGCCAAAGGTAGATGCTTAACCTACTGAGCCACCCAGGCATCCCTCTGCTTACATTTTCACTTACTCGTTTTTTACTCATTCATGCTTCTCATGAAACCAGAAGGGAAACACCTTCCTGGGCACCCAGATGTATTACTTAGACTTCTCTTCATCGTGGGGCAATATGACCTTGACTCTGACCACACAACTTCATACCTGAGCACAAGCAAGTCTACGGATATTCCTCAACTCTTTCCCTGATGCCATGGCCATGCTTTTGACCACCCCATCGCACCAGGCAAGCCCACTAAGCTCCATCCATGAGTCCTTCTGCTCTTCCCCAGCAGTATGCTTTCAGAGTCTCATGTCTTATCTGTGACCAATTCATGCATGTTTTTGCGTTGTCTTAGAACTTGCAGTAAATGAATCAGACCAAAGATTCAGCTACTATGGCGTGTGTAGGATCCCCACAGGCCAGGGAATAAGGAGGATCACAGGAGTGAGTTACTTTCCCCGGGAACGCAATGTTTTCTAGCTTGGGTACTAAGTAATATTACCCTTCTATGATTACTCATCACAAGGATTTGGGTTATATCCTTATTTAAAAGTTGGAAAACGGATACTTAACCCAGAGAGTGAAGCCACAATTTTGACCCGAGTGTAAGTTCTAAGAAATGGCTTTGCCAGCCTGTGGATTTTTTTTAAAGATTTTATTTATTTATTTGACAGAGAGAGATCACAAGTAGGCAGTGAGGCAGGCAGAGAGAGAGGGGGAAGCAGACCCCCTGCCAAGCAGAGAGCCCGATGTGATGCGGGGCTCGATCCCAGGACGCTGAGATCATGACCTGAGCCAAAGGCAGAGGCTTTAACCCACTGAGCCACCCAGGCCCCCCAGCCTGTGGATTCTTGTCTCTTTGGTCTCTGTAGTCATGACCAACTCACACTAAATAGAGAGCTGTTGCTTTGGAGGAAGTATAGTTCATCCAGTGTCATGCAACTTTATAAAAGTTCCCTCCTGTTTAGGACCAGTGAAGGATGGCACGAGAGTCAGGGACTTTTCACACCCCCTAAGTTACTAGTACATGATATCGTTATACAAGTTATGTACGGGTCTGTAGCCAGTCTTCACAGGTATTACATATAGATGTGATGGACTTGAAGGGCTGAGAGTCCACTGAGGCATGTCCCCCGAGACGACATCACTGTCTGCTGCGCGGGGACAGAGGAAGGGTTAACAGTGTGAAGTAAGTGGATCCCAGGGCGGACATCAGGGAATGCCTCTCTGAAGATGGAACATCCAATTTGTGCTACTTCCTCTCCATCACAGCGAAGAGACCGTCCCACCACCAAGTTCCTTGCGCGCAATCAAATGAAAACTCCCTTGTGTCTTCCCAGGCTGTGCAGGTGCTGCTGCTTTGGAAGCACAGAGGAGCCCTCCCCAGTGCCCAAGGACATGTCAGGAAATGTGAGGATGTTCCGCCACCCTTCTCAGGCCCGATATTTTCATTCATGGTATAGGTAAGGGACACCATATTCAGTGGGGAAAAGTGAAAAACTTTGGATCTTGTCCCTCTGTCTCATATAGATTCATGAAAAGCAAAGACATTAGATTATTTGTGTGTAACAATCAGTGTATTTCTTCCTTTTCATCATTATAACTTCTTTTTGAGATAGTTTAAGACTCATGGGAAATAGCAAAAACAGTAAAAAACAGTAAGAACAGTAAAAGAGGAACAAAAAGTACACTCAGCTTCCCATAATGATAATATCTTTTATCACAATAGTCATTGTCAAAATCAGGAAATGTACATGATCCAATACTATTCACTCAGATACAGACTCTGTCTCAAGGTGATATTTGAGAGGCTGGAAAATGCTGCTGATGAACACAAGAATTCCTCAGTCGCTTCATCCATCCACCCCTTCTCAAAGATCCCCTTTATTTGGTTGAACCAATGCCAGATACTGCAGTGCCAGCCTCTAGTCAGCTGGCTGGAGCAGATGATTAAGGTCAAGGCCATCAATAGAATTCTTGCCATGAGAGACATATTTCATATCCATTTGCGGTGTTTGAGTACTTGTGGTACCACAGATGGTATTTAGCCATTTGTGGTATTTGGGCACTTGAACTAGTGACAATCTGATTTCCAAATTTAATTACTTAAAATTTAAGCTAATTTTTAAAAAATATTTTATTTATTTGTGAGAGAGACACACACACAAGCAGGGGAAGTGGCAGGCAGAGGGAGAAGCAAACTCCCCACTGAGCAAGGAGGCGGATGGGAGACTCAATCCCAGGGCACTGGGATCATGACCAGAGCCAAATGTAGACACTTAGCCAACTGATCCCCCCAGATGTCCCAAAATTTAAGTTCAAATTGGCACATGTGACTACTGGCTATCATGTTACCCAGTGCAGGTGTTGGCCCAAAGGACACTCTCTGGCTCCTAACCCCAGTCTTGATCTCAGCAGCCAAGGGAGACCAGAGACCAGCTCTCAAGTGAGAAGAAGAAAGCACCTAGCTTAGGGCTTTCCAGTTCCATATCTGGATGAGGATCCCCCGTGGAAGAAGAAAACAAGCCTGATATCCATCGTTTCCTTCCCTCGTAGCATCCTCATGTGTCTCTACCACATGGAGACTGGAGGTAGAAGAGGAGCCTTAGTACTACATGGGTCCTTACAACACATACATAATCTCACTGATGTCCTGGAATTTTAATCACAATAGAGTCCCATTCTCTTGGACACCAGTGATGGATGAAGGCAGAATATAAGCTAGGAATCTTCTCCTTACAATTCTCAACAAGGTCACTTAGGTCAACAGCTTATCATGAAACAAAACCTTACAACAAGTTACTAGGATTTGAGAATTGACTGGGTTCTGCTTCCCCGGGTTGGAGAGAGCAATGTGGAGCAGGGCACGGAGACCCAGCTGAATCCATTATAAAGAGGGTGAGATGGAGTCATGGGGGCTTGAGAGAAGGTTTTCCTAAAGACAAAACATGGGGTCTAGGGCTTTTAATGAACCTAAAGTCATGCTACAGATTGTCCTGTTACCAGACTGCCATGCTGTATTCATAACATAAGTTCCTTCTGTTTTCCAGTGAGTGTTATGATGAATCACCATACAGTGGTTTTGAGACATGGGATGAGGACATCGAGCTTTGTTCTCCCTCAGGTTATAAAAAAGTGATAACAGGAGAGCCAAGAGCACACATCCCTGCTGCTTTACTTCTGTCTTGGGAGGGAGCTGTTTCCAAGTAAGGGGAATGATTCTCTGGGGAAAGCTGATGGTGTTATTGGATTCCATTCCTTGATATCACAGGGGCACAAGAGAATCAGGGGATTTGGGTCATTGATATAGGAATCAGGGGGGAGAATGAAAGAGCTTATCCAGTCTTACCAACAAACCCAGAAATTTCTGAATGAGGCCAACCACCTCTTCCTTCAGGAAGGCGTCTTGAGAAGCTGCACGCAGAAAGGCAGCAACTATTGCAAAGATCACTGTGTCATTGGCTGAGCTGGGAATGAATGCAAGTAACCAACTCAGTGCCTGGGAAACTGACTGCTGATGATGAGGAAGGACGGGGGGGGGCGGGTGGTCCTGAAGTGGCGTGCTGGAAAATGTTCAGGGGAAAGGGAGAGCCTTTATTTGTAGCATTTGCCAATTTCTGTGGGGTATCTACTTCCATCATGGCGGATTTCAAACTACCAACATGCTGTCCCTGAACAGGACATTGGAAATAGCCCAACATTACAGAGTACTTTCACCACACAGATACCATAGATGGAAATAACTTCAAGAGAGCAGAGTATGGCGGTGTCTTGCTGACTCAGTCAGCGGAGCACGCAACTTGTGATCTTGGGACCCTGAGTTCAAGCCTGACTTGGGTGTGGAGATTACAAAAAAAAAATAACTACACTTAAAAACAAAAGAACACGGAGTATCATAAGATGTAGTAAAATAATTAGAAAGTCATAAAAGTTTTCAGCATTTATTACCCTTGTTTGTAATATAGATCTAGTTAAATGAAAAATTTATATAATTTAATCTTTAATAATAACCATGTTTAACAACCTACCCACAGAGTTCCTGGTAAATATAACAGTCAGATCCCATGATCTGGGATGAGCTGGCTCCCACTCACCAATGGCTCCCTCCCACCTCCTAAACCCAACCTCAGCCACCCAGTGGAACCCAGCATGCACAGGCAGAGAACAGAGGTGGTGTATTTCCTCTCAGTGCTTTGCATGGGACCGACATAACCCATGCTGATTTTGTAGCCTCAGACAAACCACCAAGAATTAAGAGGGAAGGTCAAGGTTCTCTCCCATGGCTTGCCCAAACCCTTTTGAAAAAGGAGCTACAAATCCTTTCTTTTAACTCCATTTCTCTAAATATGCATTTTCTTTTAATCTGGCAAAAAGAATTTATTTTTTTTCTTTTATTTATTTATTTATTTTTAAATTTTTTATAAACATATAATATATTTTTATCCCCAGGGGTACAGGTCTGTGAATCGCCAGGTTTACACACTTCACAGCACTCACCATAGCACATACCCTCCCCAATTTCCATAACCCCACCCCCCTCTCCCAACCCCCCTCCCCCCAGCAACCCTCAGTTTGTTTTGTGAGATTAAGAGTCACTTATGGTTTGTCTCCCTCCCAATCCCATCTTGTTTCATTTATTCTTTTCCTACTCCCCTAACCCCCCATGTTGCATCTCCACTTCCTCATATCAGGGAGATCATATGATAATTGTCTTTCTCTGATAGACTTATTTCGCTAAGCATGATACCCTCTAGTTCCATCCACGTCGTTGCAAATGGCAAGATTTCATTTCTTTTGACGGCTGCATAGTATTCCATTGTGTATATATACCACATCTTCTTTATCCATCCATCTGTTGATGGACATCTAGGTTCTTTCCATAGTTTGGCTATTGTAGACATTGCTGCTATAAACATTCGGGTGCACGTGTCCCTTTGGATCACTACGTTTGTATCTTTAGGGTAAATACCCAGTAGTGCAATTGCTGGGTCATAGGGTAGTTCTATTTTCAACATTTTGAGGAACCTCCATGCTGTTTTCCAGAGTGGTTGCACCAGCTTGAATTCCCACCAACAGTGTAGGAGGGTTCCCCTTTCTCCGCATCCTCGCCAGCATCTGTCATTTCCTGACTTGTTAATTTTAGCCATTCTGACTGGTGTGAGGTTATATCTCATTGTGGTTTTGATTTGTATTTCCCTGATGCCGAGTGATGTGGAGCACTTTTTCATGTGTCTGTTGGCCATCTGGATGTCTTCTTTGCAGAAATGTCTGTTCATGTCTTCTGCCCATTTCTTGATTGGATTATTTGTTCTTTGGGTGTTGAGTTTGCTAAGTTCTTTATAGATTTTGGACACTAGCCCTTTATCTGATATGTCGCTTGCAAATATCTTCTCCCATTCTGTCAGTTGTCTTTTGGTTTTGTTAACTGTTTCCTTTGCTGTGCAAAAGCTTTTGATCTTGCCAAATATGCATTTTTACTAGCCTTAGTCTATGTATAGTTTCTCTGTGAATCCCCTTCATGCTGAAATGAGTAGACATAGCAAGGAATTTATGAGGAATTCAGGGATCAAGGATTACATGTATAGAACAAGAACTCAAGAGAATCTAAGAAAACATCAGCAAAACTAAATGACATTTCATGATCCCACGGCATCGATCATGCAATAACTACTGTACCCCTAGAAATCAGTGCTTCCGTCCTCTTTCATCACACCCCTTCTTAGGAGCTTGGCCTCTTGCCCTAGGATTCCCCTGGTCTTGATTTGTTCCACCTTTACAACTCCCCAAGACAGAGATTGGATAGAGTTGGTTGTCCTCATCTAGAAAATACCACCTGCCTTACGGCAGATTTGTCCCAACCAGGTGCCAGCTTCATGAACCACTAGCTCTCCCTATGGATCATGATTATCAACTTTGGCTACACATTAGAATTATTTGGGAAGCTTTAAAAGTAATGATGCCGAGGTCCCATCTCTAGTCCCCTGATTTCATTGGTCTGGGTTGCGACCCATGTATTGGGGCATTTTTAAAGCTTCCCAGGTACAGTTGAGTTTGGGGACTACTGCTATGGGGGCAGTATTCTACCCATGAGTCAATTGCTAATTCAGTGTTTTTGTTCCAACAGTGATAGGATATCTATCAGAGCCATTTATTTATTTATGTATTTATTTATTTAATTTTAGATTTATTTCTTTTTACCAAATGGCCCCAAATGTTTATTTGACTAAATTCTATTTCATGCATAAGCACAATGACCTTCCCTGTTTATTAGACTTTGGCAGTTAAAAACAAAAACAAAACCAAAAACAAAAAACAGGCAGCCTCATCTAGAACAGTTCAAATGCCAAGGGTGAGGGTAGTTTAGTTGTTTTTTTAAATTAATTTTTAAATTTTTTTATAAACATATAATGTATTTTTATCCCCAGGGGTACAGGTCTGTGAATCGCCAGGTTCACAGACCTCACCATAGGTAGTTTAGTTTTAATGTAAGATAAATACATATTTTTTTAAACAGACTGTGTCTCTCTGGCCATATCAACTCTTGGTTCTAATCACTAAATATAGACTAATTTCCCAAAAATCACTTCTTTGCTTCTCCAAGGTCTTCAATGCTGTCATTATCTATCTCTAGCCATTTTTTCCTTCTCCTCCTCTTCCTCTTCCTCATCTTTTTCTTCTTTTTAAAGATCTTTATTTAGCTGTAAAAAAGAGAGTTTTATTTAGTTGAGAGAGAGAGAGAGAGCACAGAGGGAGAATGAGAGGGAGAAGCAGGCTTTCCAATGAACAGGGAGCTTGATGGGGGCTTGATCCCAGGACCCAGAAATCATGACCTGAGCCGAAGGCAAATGCGTAACTGACTGAGCCACTCAGGTGCCCCTATTTCATTTATTTATTTGAGAGAGAGAGAGAGAGAGAGAGAGCAAGACCAGGGTGAGGGACAGAGGGAGAGAATCTCAGACTCCAAGCTGAGAGTGGAACCCAACTCAGGACTCCAGCTCACAACCCTGAGATCGTGACCTGAACCAAAATTGAGTCAGATGCTCAACGGACTGAGCCACCCAAGCACCACTCTCTTTGCATCTTTAAGATCAGTTACAGCTTCTTCCTTGCTCTGGGAATTTGGGTGATCCTAAACTTTTGGGATACCTTCTTTGCTTTGTTTGACCTTGCCATATCTCTTCTGCTTTTTCGTCTCTTCCTCTTCCCCTCCTCTGCCTTGACCCTCACTAAGTCCAGCTTCTTGTTTCTGTGAATTTTCTGCAGTAAGTTTTGCAAACTCTTTTGGAACATTCTTCTCTAAGCACTGTCTGCATTTAGCAACTTTGGGCAAATATGCTCAGTGCACACTGTTGGTAGTGAACAGACTGCGCCATAAAGGACTCAGGGTGGGTAGTGTGCATCTAACTTGCCCGCAGGTATAGTCCCTCAGATCTCCTTGGCCATGATGCCCACCAGATTCAGAAATCCCAGCAGTCATCTCCCAAACCCAGATGGGAGCCCAGTTCCCTGCTGCCTCTGCTCCTTGAACTACCACCAGCTGAAGCGACACACGCCCAGTCAGGGCAACTTAAACAAAAGTGAAGTGTGACCACTTTGGACACCGGTATAATAGGAGAAGACATAGAATGGCCAAGCCACATTTGGTCTGAGAGGTCCCCTTGGGTCTACTCTTCATATATCTGGTTAAGAAACCTCACTTTGTCCAAGTCATCTCTTTTTTGAGAGTCTAATGGACTGTCCAGTGGAACTTTCTGGGATGATGGAAATGTTCTTTTCTGCGTCAGACAATATGGTAGCCATTTGTCACAGGTAGGTATTAAACACTTGAGAAGTGGATAGTACAGCTGAGGAGCTGGATTTTAACTTAATTTAGTTGAATTTAATTTAATTGAAAGTTTCAATGGCCCCTCCTGTTAGTGGCCATTGTTTGAGCAAAAGAGCTCTAGTTTTAAATCACATCCCCTTCATTTCACTCAGTGAATTGATTTATTGGTCGTTTTAAATATTTTATTTTTAAATAATCTTCCAACACCCAACATGGGACTCAAACTCATGTCCTTAAGATCAAGAGCCACGTACTCCACTGACAGCCAGTCAGGCACCCCTTGTGAGCTGATTTCTAATCATTTCCTTATTTTTGACACTCAAGGGCCTCAGGCAGCAGTGGATCGGGAAACCAGGAATCTGCACAGATACTAGAATCAGGTAATTGTCTAATATAGGGTGAAGCCAGGGCTGTGTAGTGGGCTGATGGAAATGTCCTGTGGTCTCCAGGTTGTGGGGGAAAGGCTCTCCCAGCTGGATGATGGAAACGCTCAGGGAGCCAGGGTATGATCTGGGTGCCTCAGGTTGGATTGTGGGTAATACCAGGGTGAAGGGAGGTGACTTTGTCCCTTCAGCTTTTGTGCTTGTTCCTTTTATGGACTTGCCTTCCCCTGCCAACATTAGGTATTAGCTGGGCCTTGGGACCATGTAGAAATTTAGTTGTTGTGGTTCCTGCCTGAGGCGAATATTGTCCCACACCAAAGCCATCCAGCCTGGCTACCTTTTAAATTTGGGGGTGCAGTTTCAGCAGTAACCAAGAACATTCTTGTGCCTTTCTTTGTCTGGATTCAAAGAACAATGCCCCTTTTCTTCCCCCTCATACCCTTCTCTCTGATGTCTGGGTTCCCAACAGGACATGTGCAATTCACAGGACACCTTCAGATCATGCCTTTTCTAACAATCCACATCTGACACATGTAATGTATATTTTTCAGAAGATACTTTCTTGGAAGAGGAGGCACTAGTGCCCCTCCAAGCTCCTAAACTTTTTTCTGGGGTTGAACCAGCTTTTCATAATTATGTTTCTCGGACCTGAAGGAAACGTGGATATTGAGTTGATTGATAAGAGTGCAAGCAAATACAGGTAAGAATTGAAGATGCTGATTGTTTCGATCCAATTCCCTTATAAAGGAAATATATGCTGTGTGATATTTACACGTATACACCTACGTGATAGGGTACGTGATCTATCTCTTAAGACATTGGAAATTTTGTCAATATTCTCTGTATTCTATGCACTGAGTCAGTATTTTCTACCTATGTAGAATACAGAGAAATTGGGGCCCAGAGAGCTTCATTAACTCCCCAGAGTTTTCAAATGTGGTGAAAGTCACAGATGGGTCTTGAACCCCTATCCACCCCAAACTTCACATTCCTCTGTATTTTTAGTCTCTAAATCAAAGTCCTGGTCTTCTCCCAGCATGACTATCACTCTGGCTCCTTTCAGCGTCCACTTCCCCATGGCTGGCTTCTATCTGTGGCCAGCAACGCAACTTGGATTCTTGGTAACAGCAGCAGTGACCGTGAGGATAGCGTTTGATTCTTGGAGTCTACACATGAAGTTACAGCAGGAGGAGCAGTGGATGGTGGCAGGCCCACTGTTTGATATCTCCGTGGAGCCCGAGGGGGTCATTGCTGAAATCCACGTCCCTCACATCATCGCCCTGCCAGGTAAGGAGGGGAGAGGGGGCCGTGGGGATGGTGGGATCATTGTCTGATGGCCTTTGCGGTTGTCTTTCAGCAAATGAGGTCGATATGTCTTGGTTCCACGTTGCCCATTTGAAGGATGAAGGGATGATCCTAGAGGCACCAGCCCGAGTGGAGCCTTTCTATGCCGTCCTGGAAAACCCCAGCTTCTCTCTGATGGGGATCCTGCTGAGATTGGCTAGTGGGACTGGTGTTTCAGTCCCCATCACTTCCACAGCACTGCTCTATTATCACCTTCACCCCAAAGATACTAAATTTCACCTGTACCTTATCCCCAGTGACTCCTTGCTAACGAAGGTAAGGCTGGCAGATTTTGGGGAAGTGAGAGTTACATTTTCAGCTTATCACCTTGGACCTTCTGTCTCTGTATTAAATAGAAAATGTAAGACATGGCTTTCATTGATAGAAGCATGAATCCCCCTCCATGTGGTTGATCGGCAGGTGCTGACTCTTGAGTCATAGGCAGGAATCTGCAATGGGAATTCAGTTCTACTAAAAATGGAGCTGCCTTTTCTGGCTTTTATGGAGAAGGATAAAGGGAGATGAGATTTACACGGACTGGCAGAGGGAGTCATGCAGAGATTTCATTGCAGATTTTGAAGTTAATAGTGCCCAATTTAAATACCACCCACCGGCCCCCACACCCCGTACACATACACCCCTCCAGAGTCATCCTCCTCCTGTGCAGGGACATCTCCCTCCAGCACATTCGTGAAAGACTCAGAGCCCCCCACCCTTTCCTCGGTTACTGCTGAAGCAGAGGTGCTGGTCATTGTTGCCACAGAGCTCATGTTTTCTTCGATTAAGTACCTCTTCTCTCCCTTCAGCCTTGGTGGAGAGGTTGCTGGGGAAGATTCATTTGATTTTCTTAAAATTGGTGAATTCTCCTAGAGCCCAAGAAGAGACAGGTGCATGCCTGCTGGTCATTAGCGTTGTGAGTAACTGTGGGTATTTAAAATACAAGAGAAAATATTTTAGTCTGGATGCCAAAGATGACTGTTCCTGGAGTACACAGGAAAAGAAAACAGCAGAAAAAAACAAAAAACAAAAAGCAAAGAAAGTTATATGTAGCTCTTCTTTTTGTTCTGGAAACTCCCTGGTTCCCAGCCTGGCCCATGCTGCTCCTTCTTCTTTCCTGGACCCCGAATCTCACACAATCACTCGCCCCTACTTTATTGATTCAGTAGAATCAACGAGGTGGAAATGACCTCACTTTCCTGTCACCAATTTGTAAATCTAATTCTCTGCTGGACTTACTCCCCTTGGCCTCCTCCTCTGAGGACAAGGCTACCTCCTACTTGCATGAAGCCAGGGTTTGAGACATGTCCGGGATCCCTTTCTCTCTTGCCTTTCCCAGGAGGACACCACACCTGGACGGATCTTCTCTCATGTTCTTTGTCAGTCTCTATTACCCTGGCGTCCCATTTCCTTCAGCCACCCCAGATGAACGCTAGCTACCGTATTACAGAGATGCTTTCCTTCTCCTATAGTTTTCATTTTTCTCTTCTTCTTTTTAAAAACCTTTTAATTTATTTTATCTTATTTTTTAAATTAACATAGAGTTTATTATTTCTTCCAAGGGTACAGGTCTGTGATTTATCAGTCTTATATATATAATACCCAGTACCCATTACAACACTTACCCTCCCCAATGACCATCACCCAATACCCCAATCTCCTACCTTTTCCTCCCCTCCAGCAATCCTCAGTTTGTTTTCTAAATTAAAAGTCTCTTAGGGGGGCGCCTGGGTGGCTCAGTGGGTTAAGCCTCTGCCTTTGGCTCAGGTCATGATCTCGGGGTCCTGGGATTGAGCCCCACATTGGGCTTCTGCTCAGCAAGCAGTCTGCTTCTCCCCCGACCCACCCCCACTCTCTCTGCCTGCCTCTCTGTGTGCTTGTGATCTTTGTCTGTCAAATAAATAAATACAATCTTTTTTTAAAAAAAGTCTCTTGGGGGGGCGCCTGGGTGGCTCAGTGGGTTGGGCCGCTGCCTTCGGCTCGGGTCATGATCTCAGGGTCCTGGGATCGAGCCCCACATCGGGCTCTCTGCTCGGCAGGGAGCCTGCTTCCTCCTCTCTCTCTGCCTGCCTCTCTGCCTGCTTGTGATCTCTCTCTGTCAAATAAATAAGTAAAATCTTAAAAAAAAAAAAAAAGTCTCTTGGGGTTTGTCTCCCTCTCTGATTTTGTCTGGTTTCATCTTTTCCTCTCTTCCCCCATGATCTTGTATGGTTTCTTAATTTACCTATCAGTGAGATCATATGATAGTCGTCTTTCTCTGATTGACTTATTTCTCTTAGCATAATACCCTCTAGTTCCATACATGTTTTTGCAAATGACAAGATTTCATTTTTTTGATGGCTAAGTAGCATTCGTGTGTGTGTGTGTGTGTGTGTGTGTGTGTGTGTGTATATAAATATATATTTGGATATATATATATATATATATCCTTCATCCTTCGATGGACATCTGGGCTCTTTCCTTAGTTTAACTATTGTGGCCATTGCTGCTATAAACATTGGGGTCCAGGTGCCCCTTTGGATTACTACATTTGTATCTTGGGGTAAATACCCAGTAGTGCAATTGCTGGGTTGTAGGGTAGCTCTATTTTCAGCTTTTTGAGGAACCTCCATACTGTTTCCCAGAGTGGCCGCACCAGCTTGCATTTTCAGCAGCAGTGTAAGAGGTTTCCCTTTCTCCACATCCTCGCCAGCATCTGTCGTTTCCTGACTTGTTAATTTTAGCCATTCTGACTGGTGTGAGGTGGGATCTCACTGTGGTTTTGATTTGTATTTCCCTGATGCCGAGGGATGACAAGCATTTTTTCATGTGTCTGTTGGCCATTTGAATGTCTTCTTGGCAGAAATGTTTGTTCCCAGTCTTCTGCCCATTTCTTGATTGGATTATTTGTTCTTTAGTTGTCCAGTTTGATAAGTTCTTTATAGATTTTGGATAATAGCCCTTTATCTGATTAGACATTTGTAAATAGCTTCTCCCATTCTGTAGGTTGTCTTTGGTTTTGCCGACTGTTTCCTTTGCTGTGCAAAAGCTTTTTATCTTGGGGCGCCTGGGTGGCTCAGTAGGTTGAAGCCTCTGCCTTCGGCTCGGGTTGTGGTCTCGGGGTCCTGGGATCGAGCCCCGCGTTGGGCTCTCTGCTCAGCGGGGAGCCTGCTTCCCTCTCTCTCTCTCTCTGCCTACTTGTGATCTCTGTCTGTCAAATAAATAAATAAAATATTTGAAAAAAAAAACTTTTTATCTTGATGAAATCCTAATAGTTCACTTTTGCCCTTGCTTCCTTTACATTTGGAGACATGTCTAGCAAGAAGTTGCTGCTGCTGAGGTCACAGAGGTTGCTGCCTATGTCCTCCTCCAGGATTTTGATGGATTCCTGTCTCACATTTAGGTCTTTCAAACATTTTGATTGTATTTTTGTGTCCGGTGTAAGGAAATGGTCCGTTTCATTCTTCTGCATGTGGCTCTCCAATTTTTCCAACATAACTGGTTGAATAGACTGTCTTTTTCCCATTGGATATAGAGGGATTGGGGTAAGAGGGTGATGGCCATTGGGGAGGGCATGTGTTGTAATGAGCACTGGGAATTATGTATGACTAATGAATCACTGACCTCTACCTCTGAAACTAATAATAATAAAAATAAATAAAACTAAAAATAAATCCCCTCATGTACAGGGGCATATCCATATATATAATATATGAGTATATATATACAACTCTTAACATCGGTTGAATCATATCATACATGCTACTTAATACAATATACCAAGAGCTTTGTGTGCCATTACTTTTGCTTATTTACTTTTTTTAGCTTTGCTCCCTGATTTGCTTCTGCTGCTTCTTCCTCAGGCAATAGATGAAGAAGAAACTAAGTTTCATGGTGTGCCTCCGCAGACCTCACCCCCCGTGGACCCCCTGTATTTTGCTTCCCGTTATATTGTGTCCAGTTCAGCTCACCTGGAAATAATACCTGAGGTCAGTAGAATTTGAACCTAACTCAAATTTAATTCGGGTTTCAAAATATTTTGTACTTTTGAAAAAAAACATAGAAGACCAGTAGAGAGTCAGTAGTTCAGGTGATTATTCTCTGAACCATATTCTGATAAGAGGAAAGGTAAGCTGAAGACTACCTTTCCTTCCATGGAATAATACTATTTCCTAGAATTGTAAATGTAAAAGATCGTTGACCATTTACCTCTGATTTTTTTCTCAACCAGCCATGAGACTGTATAGTAAATGGATAATATTTCAGTGGCCAGTTCACTGCAGGCAAACAGGCCTTTACACTCGCCCCACCAATCCCCTGAAGCTTTAAGTCAAATGGTGTCTTTCCTCTAGGAGCTGAAATTATCCTACAGGAGTCCTGGAGAAATCCAGGTGTTCTCTAAAGTCTATGCTGGGAAGATAGAGGAAACGATTGAGCTTGAAGTTACTGAGAAAAGACACAAGACTTTGGTCTGGCATACTTTGGTGAAGCCAGGTAGGTAAAAATATGAGGCTGAAATTTGGGGCGGGGGGAGGAAAAAATCATGCACCTCTCCCCTTGGTTGTAGTGAAGTGTGTCAGAGGAGAAGGTCTGTTTATGGTCCCAACCCAGAGAAGAAAATAAATCTACTGCCAGTTGATAGTCCATGTTGAGTTGAAACAAGTGTTGGCAGTGATCATGTGTGCCTGGGATAGGGATGCCTTTGATGTCGAGAACTGGACCCTCTCATACCTAGCAGGTAGTAAACGGGAGATGCTAATTATAAGAATCAGAAGGAGCAGAAGGTTGATTTAACTCTATCTTCTGGCCAAGTGTATAATTGTTGTCATACACAGAGTCTAAGCAGCTGCTGAGGAAAGAGGAACACAAAATCTATCAAAACTTTAAACACGGGGCGCCTGGGTGGCTCAGTGGGTTAGGCCGCTGCCTTCGGCTCAGGTCATGATCTCAGGGTCCTGGGATCGAGCCCCGCATCGGGCTCTCTGCTCAGCGGGGAGCCTGCTTCCTCCTCTCTCTCTGCCTGCCTCTCTGCCTGCTTGTGATCTCTCTCTGTCAAATAAATAAATAAAATCTTTAAAAAAAAAAAAACTTTAAACACATCAGGGCTTCTAGAAAGAAAATGTGAGAGCATGTGGAAGGCTTCATGGTAAACACAGTTTATTTATTTCCCAGATGGTGGCTCCAATCTGCAAATCTCCCCCAACTTATATGTGTGTTAAACGTATAAATTCTGCACTATCACCATCCCAGCATTATAGCATTTAAAGTATATCCTCAATTATTGTTCAAATGTACTCATTTAATGGTGGTATTTCGTGTCTAAAATACATTTGCCTAGATAATATATGTAGAGAAGTACGATAATTTTACTGTAGCTTTCACATTTCCTCACTTATTTGCTTAGAAATAGAAAGAATATTGGGAAAAAAGTACTCCTCCCTCTGATGCATTTCCAGACAGTGAGTGACCTTCTACTTATTTGGGTTCCATTAGTATATCGATGTTCCAATGGGATCCTTAATGTAGGAAATGGAATTAAATTATTTTCGTGCATCACATCAAAGACTAGAGAAACTACAGAAGTACCTTGCTGGCTCATTCATAAGAACCTGGGCCTCTTGACCTAAGCATTGTGAGTTTGATTTCTATGTTGGGTGTAGAGATTACAAAAAAAAAATCTTAAAAAAAAAAAGAGAAATAAAGGTAAATGGTTTATTTCATTCTCCCAACTTTTCCTTCTTTCCTAGTGGACCTCCAGTTTCCTGCTCCTTCATCCCCTTATCCCCCTTCAGGTGAGTGCAGTGTCCACACCGAACGTCAGAGGGATGGGTCTGATTTCAGGAGGTTTTGAGGGGTGTGATGTGGCTCAGTGAGGGATCCTACCTTCTCTTCAGTTACAGAGACTGAGTGCTATCGGACACAAAGAAGGAGTCTGAGCCACTTGAGCGAATTCATGGGAGGGTTTAATAAGCAGACTCTGAGCCTGCAACCACGTCTTATGGAAAATATCTTGCAACTGATGAACTCTCAGTGAAAGTAGTTCGATATGGCTAGAGATGAAACTTTAGAGGGATAGAGGACACATGAGACCAGAGGCAGGCAAGAAACAGAAGTTGAAAGCAGAAGGATGATGGCTGAACTCTTTCGGTCCTTAGGCTGAAGGCAAAGGGGGACTTAGGAAAGGTGGGTAGCAATGCACTCACTGTTCTGAACAGTGTGGATGACTGTGGGTGGGCAATGGACAGGAAGTGGGAGCCGGGTTAGGAGGCTGTTGTGAAAATTGAGAACAGGGATTAGCTGGGAATTGGTTAAGGTTACTGGAGTTGATAGGTAGCAGAGAAAGAAATTATTCAAAGTAAGGAGTCAAGGGGCACTGGCTGGCTCAGTCAGAAGAACATGTGACTCTTGATCTTGGGTAGTTGTGAGTTCAAGCCCCACCTTGGGAGTAGAGATTATTAAATAATAAGAAGAAACTTTTAAAAAATAAATAAATAAAATAAAAGGAGTCAAGATTCAGAGGACTGCATTCTGCCTTCTGCGCTGTTGGCTTTGTCAGTCTCCACACAGTAAAAGTGACAGGCCTCCTGTCCCAAAACAGATCATCCTCGAGGAGAAAGGGAACATCTCCTGATCCCTCTTACTCCTCAGGTGTCACACTGGCTTGAAATGGCACAAACCCACTTCCTGGCCAGCTGGTGTTATGGTCAGGGGGCTCCGAGAGGCAGATGAGCTACAGAAAATCAGACCCCACACCTGGAGTTGTAATTGGGTTCAAACCCAATCACAGATCTTGGTTAAGAATGAGGTAAAGATGGGATAGGTGGGTGGCTCAGTCAGTTAAGTGCCTGCCTTTGCCTCAGGTCAAGCTCCTAAAGTCCTGGGATTGAGTCCCACATCAGGTTCCTTGCTCACTGGGGAGCCTGCTTCTCCTCTTGCTTCTCCCCCTGCTTGTGTGCTCTCTCTCTCTCTCTGACAAAGAAATAAAATCTTCTTTAAAAATAAAAAAAATAAGCAGCCTGAAAAATAAAAAGAAGAATGAGGTAAAGATGATTTCACAAAGGAAATTGAAAGGATTTATGTAGGTGGTGAGTGTGTAGCACTAAGAAGATGTCTCTACCCTTCCTCTTCTACAAGCTCTTGAGTGAGAGCTATCTACCATCTGGTGTCGGAAGGATGAAACCCACCCTCGTGTGCTCTCTCTAGAACACACTTCAGAAGCTGCTGCCAGCCCACGTCTTGCGTCAGATCATTCTGGCCAGCATGCACTGTGAAGCCTGACATCTCTCTCCCCCTCTTTGCCTTTTGGCCTGGTGGCATCTTGTATTTAATACCAGAATCCTACTCCTCGAAATCCTCCTCTGATACTAACCTTCTGTGAAGACTTTGCTTGAAAGTCTAGTCATCCCCCTCCTTTCTGATCCAAAGTCTATGATTGCATTTTGCAAGAGCTGGAATTATGGTGATAAAAATAATCATGATGGGGGCACCTGGGTGGCTCAGTGGATTAAGCCGCTGCCTTCGGCTCAGGTCATGATCTCAGGGTCCTGGGATCGAGTCCCACATCGGGCTCTCTGCTCAGCAGGGTGCCTGCTTCCCTCTCTCTCTCTCTCTCTGCCTGCCTCTCCATCTACTTGTGATCTCTTCTGTCAAATAAATAAATAAAAAATCTTAAAAAAATAATCATGATGATAAATGCATTTTGCTGAATGCCTGTAGCGTGCTAAATAGTCAGGGTACGTATATGTGTGCATTATACTCACCAGTTCTGTCTAGTCCTGTCAATGCACTTTGGCTGGCTTCCTCAGAGAATCATAGAGGAGCATCAGAGCAAACATGGCAATGGCCCAAAGTAGCAGTCCTGTATGGAACGTAGCCTGAGACAGACACACACCCCGCACTCATGGGGTTTCTATTCCAGCAGGTGAAAACAGCAAATCTGATTTCAAAATACAGTGATGGATGTGTTCCAAAGGAAAATTAGAGGGATTTAGGAGAGGATAAGACAGAGGGCTCTTACCTTGAGGGAGCTGAAAAAGTTTCAGAGTGCATCCTGGAGAGACAAAAAAAGTGAAGTTTATGTCCATTTAGGAAGATTGAATAGAATTGCTAAACAAATGGGTGAGGTAAAAACAATGAAGGAAGAAAGAACAGGTTAAGCTAAGAACATTTCTGTGAGAGCAACTGAAGTCATTCAAATCAAGGAGTCACAGAATGTACACTTCCAATGACTTTTCAATGGAAACACCAAAACTTCATAGAAATCATATCGTTAAATTAAGCTGCTTAGTTTGGTTGCATATGACGTTGATGATCTGAGCCACTGTTGTTTAGAACAAAAGTTCTAGAGGCACGAGTTGTACATAGAAAGCCGTCATGCTTTTGGGTGCCTGGGTGGCTCAGTTCAAGCATCCAGCTCTTGATTTTGGCTCAGGTCATGATCTCAGGGTTGTGATATTGAGCCCCCCATCGGGCTCCATGTTGGGCATGGATCCTGCTTAAATTTCACTCTCTCTCTCTCTTCCTCTGCCCTTCTCCCCCCAGCTTGTGCTCTGTGTCTCTCTCAAAAAAAAAAAAAATCCAAAAACCCCAATCATGCCTTTAATGAAGAAACTGACAAAAACCCCAATCATGCCTTTAATGAAGGAGCTGAGGAACAAGAAAGCAATGTTATTTGGCCAAGGTCACACAGGTTTTATATGCAGGCACCAAATTGCACTCTGAGTCAGCAGGAAGTATGTTCTCTCCAGTGCTTCCGGTGCCTTCTGTGTTGTACTTACCCAGCTAAATCCCTTTCTGCACAGTTTATCAGAAGACTCTTGAGGGTAGGGAGCTAGCCTAGTCCACCTGCACCTCTGGTATTATTAGTACCAATGTATGAACTTCAAGATTGTTGGAAAGGTGAATAGATGAATGTAGAGCAAGATAGAGCTGTCTCTAGAGTTCCAGTGAAAACCAGAAAGTAATGAAGAGGTGCTCAAAGCTTGGAGGGGAGGGGCATTGAAGAAGAGGGATCTTTGAGTTTCCCTAAATTCAAAGACCCTGAGAATGGACAGCATATCCCGAGTCCTTTGTAAGATCTGGGCAACATGCAAAACACAATGAGCAACATCTCCACACAGAATATGTCTTTAAGGAGTGCCTGGGTGGCTCAGTCAGTTAAGTGTCTGACTCTTGATCTCAGTTCAGCTCTTGACTCAGGGTCATGGATTCAAGCCTCATGTTGGCATCTCTATTACCCCTGGGGCTGAAAGGAAGAAAGAAAAAGAAAGAAAGAAAGAAAGAAAGAAAGAAAGAAAGAAAGAAAGAAAGAAAGAAAGAAAGAAAGAAAGAGAGAGAGAAACATGACATTAAGCTGGGCAAAAGTCCTGAACGCCTTAAGTGATCTGTCCTTTTCTGAGTCTGCAACTCTTTCTTGTGTCCAGTTGAGATCTTTATGAAGGAGCACCGCCGGCACCTGCAGGCCAGGCTGGGGGACCTGAACGGAGTACTAGATGATCTTCAGGACAGTGAGGTCTTCACCGAGGAAGAGAAGGAGCTGGTGCAGCAGTTTCCAACACAGCAGAGGAAGAATGAGGCCCTCCTGAGGATGGTGGAGAAGAAAGGACCCCAGGCCCTGGAGATACTCTTCAGAAGCCTTCAGCAAAGAGATCCTTACCTGATGTCCTACCTCAGCCAGCAGAGTTTACAACAGTGACTCAGGCCAATACTCAGGAAGAGACAATCCCGTGTTCTGCACTGAAAATGGATAAACAGGGGTGCTCGGGTGGCTCAGTTGTTTAAGCATCTGACTCTTGATTTCAACTGCACTCAGCTCGGAGTTTGCTTGAGATCCTCTCCCTCTGCCTCTCCTCCCACTCTCACTCTCTCTCAAGTAAATTAAATCAATCTTAAAAGAAAAAAAGAAGGAAAATGATTAAAGAGACATGTATCATTGAGTTCAGTGTCCAAGACTAAAGAGATCCAGGTGACACCCAGCCATCACACAGGTTTTACTGAGGACTGATGTGTAACTAGGCAGATACCTATTTCTGTATCCTCATATCTTCCCCTCAACAATATCTCAAGAGAGTAGGAATATTCATACTAAATATTTTTTAAGCCAGATTAAAAAAATTCCTATTTAACCTATTGACCTATTTCTTGGAAATCTGGGCAGAGGAAGGCAAGGCCAGGTGTGGTTATGATTGACAGGGCCCAGGGAGACCAAGTCTCCCGAGTCACGTGAGAAGCAATTCCAGTGAACATTACATCTGAGCTGTTACCTGCTCGGAACAGAAGCCGGGAAGGCTTACGAAACACTCCCTGTTGAGGATGTTCATGACATTCACAAGTTCAAATGTTTTTGGTTTTGTTTTTAATAGGCTGTGTCTTTCACATTTTATCCGTTGCTATTTCTACTAGAATGATGAAGTCCCTTCATGGAATAGAGCTCAGGAGTGGAAGCAAATGCCAACCTTGGCTGAGAACTTTGGCCTCTGGTATATAGGCTGGTACCAGGAACGGGCACATTCTGGGTCACACAACTTCATGGAACAGCTCTGTGGATCGCAGAGGTGGAGTATGGGTGAATGGTGTCCACAGAAGCAGTGAGGGGGAAAAGGAGGAGCATCCAGTGGTTGTGAGGGAGGCCCTCCTGGCAGGTATGTCACAGAAATAGGCAGAGCCTGCCATTGGGGTTCTGCCATTGGACCCCGCCTTTTTATACGCGTCCCAGCTGCCTTTGGGCCAGTGTTTGCGTGACATAAGTAATGCTATCCTCTGACTTTGAGCCCAGTTATTTCCTTGTATTTGAAGAGAGTTTGTGGAAGACAGCCTAGAGTTGGGTCAGTTGGCTTTTGGTTTTTTTTTTTAACCCATTGTGACAACGTCTGCTCTTAAAGTGACGTGTTCAGCCATTCGCATTTAACATAATTCTTGTGTGGTTAGGATTTAGCCTAGGGCAGCCCTTTTTGTATTTGTTTTCTGTCTATTCCCTTTGTGCTGCATGGCTGTCTTTCCTTTCTTGGCTTTTTTAGGGCTTACTTGAAGAGTGTTTAGTATTCCACCTTAATTTTTCTATTGTGTTTTTTATGGTACGTGGTTCTGTATTTCTTAGTGAATGTGTTATAGATGAAGAGATACATCCTGAATGCGTCCTTCCTCGTATCCATAGTGTGCGAATTAAAGTGGAATCTAGAAACCTTAGCACCATTTTGGCCATGGTACCTTTTATGACCTAGTTGTTTTCAATATTACTCTCTATATAATAAGGTCCCAATCAGAAGAACGGACTCTATGTTTTTTACTTCCCTTTTTTAAAAAAAGATTTTATTTATTTATTTTAGAGAAAGATACGGACAGACCATGAGTTGAAGGAGGAGTAGGGGACAGAGAGAGAGAGAGAGAGAGAGAGAGAATCTCAGGCAGACTCAGTGCTGAGCACAGAACCTGAGGCAGGGCTCCCTCTCTTGATTCTGAAATCACAACCTGAGCCGCAATCAAGAGTCAGACACTTAACGGACTAAGCCAAATGATACCCATGTTCTCTAACTTTCAATTGCTTAGTATGTTTTAAAAACCCATGAGGAATGTCATCTATGATATGTGCCCTGACATTTACCATTTATGTTGTGTTTCTTGTAATCCTGATACTCTACATTTCACCGAACTTCTTTTGGAAATTCTTTTTTTAAGCTTATTTTTTCTGTGATCTCTACACCCAACAAGGGACTCAAACTCATGACCCTGAAGTCAAGACTTGCAGGCTCTACTGACTGAACCAAACAGGCACACCCACAATTCTTTTAAAGCAGATCTCCTGACTGTGGATTCACTTAATTTCCCTTCATCTAGAGATGTCTTTATATTGCTTTTATTCCTGAATGATATTTTTGCTGAACATAATGGCAGTTCTTTTCTTCAGCCATTTATTTCTGGTTTTCATGGTTCCTAATGAGAAATCTACCATCATTTAGATTGCTTCCCTATATGGAATGTATCATTTTTCTCTGGCTGTTTTCAAGATTCGTTTTCTTTGTCTTTAGTTTTCAATAATTAGATTATGATACATCTGGGTATGGATTTTTTGGGGTCTGTCCTACTTGGAATTCACTTAATTCCTGAAATTTGTAAGTTTATGTTTTTTCAGCAAACTTGAAAATTTACCAATATTATTTTTAAAGATATGTATTAAATATACATATATGCTAAATGTGTGTGTGTGTGTGCTCACGTGTGTATTTGCTTCCATGTCTTGGGGATATATATATAGATATAGATATATCTTTTTTTTTTTTAATTTTTTTTTAACTAGGCTCCATAATGTGTGGAACTCATCATGGGGTTTGGCTTGAACTCATGACTCTAAGATTAAGACCTGAGCCGAAATCAAGAGTCATATGCTTAATCGACTGAGCTACCCAGCACCCCTAAGTATATATTTTTCAATCCTGCATTTCTTTCTCCTCTCCTTGAGGGACTCTGATGGTATGAATGTTAGGTTTTTGTTGTTGTCCCTAAGTTCTCTGAGACTTAATTGTTTTCCTATTATCTCCTCTCGTTCTGATTGCATAACACTGATTTATTTATTTATATATATTTTTAAAGATTTCATGTATTCACTTATTTATTTAGAGAGAGTAAGAAAGCGGGTACAAGTGGGGTGTAGAGGAGAGGGAGAGAGAGAATCTCAAGCAGACTCCATGCTGAGGGCAGAACCTGACCTGGGGCTGGATCCCAGGACCCTGAGATCATGACCTGAATTGAAATCAAGAGTCAGACACATAACCATCTGAGCCACCTAGGTGCCCCTTTCTTTTCTTTTGCTAGTAAACTTCTTGCCCTGGCCTCCTTCTGTCTAAAAAACCTTCCATTTTTGTACCACTCCTCTGAGCCCATCTCTCTACTAGAAGGGATGCTGCGTGACACATGGATCATTGAATAAAGCTAATTAGTTGAATTTTTGTTCTCAAAGGAGGTTGTTTCCATGTCTTCATTATTGTGACTAATGTGTCAATGAATGTGGGGCTCAGGTAGCTCTTTGAGAGGCTGATTTCATTTCCTTCAGATAGATACACAGAAGTGGGGACAATCTGGTTGTCCTATTTTTGATATTCTGAGGGAGCTCCATACTATCAACTCACTATCAACTATACCCCTCCAACTGGGCACGAGGGTTTCTTTTTCCCCACATCCTCAACACTTGTTATTGCTTTTCTTTTTTATAAGATTTTATTTATTTATTTATTTGACAAACAGAGATCACAAGTAGACAGAGAGGCAGGCAGCGGGATGGGGAGAGGGAAGCAGGCTCCCCACTGAGCAGAGAGCCCGATGTGGGGCTCAATCCCAGGACCCTGAGATCATGACCCGAGCCAAAGGCAGAGGCTTAATGACTGAGCCACCCAGAAGCCCCTGCTTTTCTTTCTGATAAGAGCCATTCTAACAGTTATAAGGTGATATTTTATTGTGGTTTTTATTTGCATTTCTTTGATTTCATGTACACCCTTCACAGGTGGCTTTTCTTTGGATAATGCAAGTGCCTGACTTAAACTTTGTTGCCAAGGCATCCATGTCCAAGACAAACACAGTTATCTCAAGAAACACCCGGCCAGAGGCCCCCAGGTGGCTCAGTCAGTTAAGCATCTGCCTTTGGCTCAGGTCAGGATCTCAGGGTCCTGGGGTCGAGTCCTATATCGGGCTCCTTGCTCAGCGGGGAGTCTGCAGCAGGTTCTCCCGATGTGTACAACGTGTATGGCATGTGCAAGGCGTGAGTGGACGTCAGAAATGAAATCCGGGGATGTGTGCTGTGTGGACAACCAGGACATAATCCATTAACGAGGTCCAGGTGGGAAGCATCTGTCTGTCTCCACCCACCAGATGTACATTTCATAACAGGAGATACCTTGTCTTACTCGTTACTGGAATCTCAACCTGCAGAACATCACAGACACTCAATAAATGCTAGCGTAATAAAAGAGAGAATGAATCCTTCTGACTGCTCCCTGGGAAAAAACAAAGCTCAGCCCCCATTCCTCTTTCTCTCATTCTCCCTTCCAGCCTTGTATTTGACAGCAGCAGGGGGGTTCCTCCTTTGGGTTGACACTGCCTCTTGAGGCTTCTGCTTCCTGGGAACATGGGTGACAAGCACAGTTGTTTTACGTAGTTTTTGTGAGGAATAAATGTGGCATGCGTGGAGGGCATTAGCAGAACACTGGACATGTGTCGTGTTCAATAAACAACGGCACCAGTGATGAGTGTTGAGATGGGATTTTTCAGCCAACAACTTTCATGGCCCCTGCTATGGGCTGGCCCGCGCTGGGGACACAGAAGTGAGTAAGGCATGGTCCCTCCAGGAGTGCACAGCCTGGTGGGTGTAACAGACACACACACAATCATAATGCCAGGTAGTCGCACCCTGTAATGGATACTTGACACATGATGGACTAAAGGAGCAGACCGAAGATCCCTGAATTTCCCTAGCAATGATGCTGATGCTGAAGGATGTGGGTGTGTCCAGGAACGCAGCGGGAGGAGAGGAGAAGTTCTAGATAGAAAAACAGCATCCCGCCTTACCAGAATGAACAATGAGGAACCCAAAGGACATGACAAACTCATTCTTTACTTTGTCACCAAACCTGCCTCCCTGAAATTTGCCAGACATTGGTTCTTTCTCTCCCACTCCTCCCTCTTCTCTCAGGCAGTCTCTCGCTTACATTCTCAATCTTATGTCCTGGGGAAATGACAGAGGGTGATGTACATGTTCCGTATCTGATTGGGGTGTTGGTCACACAGGTGATTATATTTGTCAAAACTCAT